TATGTATGTATGTATGTATGTATGTATATATTAGTGACAACATTTGCTGTAATTTGTTGAATGTTAATTTTTTTTAACTTCACATTTATAATTTTTATATTATATTACATGATTGATTATTTATATTTATTAGTGAAAGCATATGTGTATAGTCATATTTGGTTGAATTATTGTTTCTTATTTTCAAAAAACCATTTTATGATATCCTAAAATGTGTTTGAATTATTTTGCTTAGACACAGATAGAAAATAAATAATTGTAAATAAAAATATTTTAAAACTAATCAATATTGTTGGAGTTATAAATTTAATTAAATCAATGTGCATTATATTWAGAACTAGTTAAAGATATGTCTGAGCATTAAATAACCTTAACTAGTTCATTCATTTAGCAGTAAATCTATTAAAATCATCATAATACACCTAAGGTGTTTACTATAATTTAACAATGTAAACTATAAGAAATTATAATGAATTGGAAACACTGGATGATGCACAGTAATTAATAATCACTATAATTTATATTTATTATTTATTACTATTAATTAAATAAATATTTATTATTTTTACCAACACATTGCATATAATGATGTGTAGATTATATTATTAAAATCAATAAAATTCCTATCAGATTGGTATGAAAAAGACTCATTATCAGTCAATTCAACASTGCAAATTACAGTACCTACACACTGTTCCAAAAGAAAAGACACCTTTTACTGCTTCTACCGATCACTACCTAGTACCAATGCAGTTATACTATAACCTATATAGGGAAGATACATGTTGCTAATGGAAACTGGTCATTGTTCAGTGTATTTTCTTTTGGAATGGACTTAAAACATACAAATTCTAAAATGTTAAAATTATTTTAWAATAGAGCTGTTTTTAAACTTTTTAATATACAAGTATATTTCTTCAGTTTTATTAAAAAGTATTTGAATAGTATTTAAAATACTCAAATATTTTTTATTTTTTTTGTAAAATATTTTAGCAGTATTCAAATATTAATTTAATAGTAAATAATTTTCAATTGTATTACTATATGGAAACTTGTTTGTGTTATATATAACCTATAATATTTACTAATCAACATAGCATAACATTAGCTAATATTAAATAACCATCAATTAATGTATCCAGTTTTAAAACAATTCTCAAGATGAATGAATTTTATTGATGTGGGTTTTATTATTTAAAATAAATGTAAATTAATCAATTAATCATTATTTCAATATTGTATCATGCAAAAATATAAGATTAAGTTAATTCTTTCAACAATTCCACATAATTTTAATAGAAAGATGAATAAAATGAATTGTAAGAAAGTATTCAATACAAGTAAATAAGTTAATAATATAAATTATAATAATATGTACTCAAATATTTGTTGATTGATATATAAGTAGACATCGCTTATAAGACTCATATTGTGACCAGCAGAAATTGATCCTTATAACCGATTGAATTTTATTRGGGAAGTGGAAAAAAAACCGATGGAAGTAGTAATAAATTACCTAATAACTACATATATAGTATACAGTGTGATCACGATTTATAGTAACACTAAATATCTCAGGTGCATGTCCTTGTATTGAACTGGCGTTTTCGGGAGGTGATAGGGAGTACCTAAATACATATTTTTGGATAAATTTCAAATTATTAACACTTTTGGTGTGCGCATGCGCAATACAACTTACATTTTTTTAAATAGAAACACTATTTTTTTTCTACATATTCGGATAGATTATTTTTTTTTTGAGCATTTTTTGTATCAACAGTTTTTTTCTATTTTCAGCACACCAAAAGTGTTAATAATTTGAAATTTATCCAAAAATATGTATTTAGGTACTCCCTAACACCTCYCGAAAACGTCAGTTTAATACAAGGTCATGCACCTGAGATATTTAGTGTTACCATAAATCGTGATCACACTGTATACACAATACACAATAATAATTGCTTTACATTTTAAATGTGACAACATTTATTGTACATACGTAGTATACCTATAGCAGTGGTCTTCAACCATTTTGATTTGCGACCCACTGTTTCGTAAAAAAGTATTCACGACACGTGTCAACTTTGTTAACCACGGAAAGCAAAAAAATTTTAGGTGCTAGTTTTGAGTAATTTCCCATGTATAAGTGGGTCCAAAACATTTTCTAAGTTTCATTAAACATATGTTTATGTTTGGAAACATAAGTTAATTCAATTAATTTATTTTSTATGTTAATAGACATTTTAACTATCATTAAATATATTGTAAAATGTTATTCAATYCATTCATAATTAATAATTTTATAATCTTAGTGACTCATTTGTAAAGCTTACATGATCCTAATTTAAGACCATTGAKAAATGGCATGTTTARAAATCAGTAAAAACCTACAAAAAAGTTTCATGTGAAATTTTAACCAACGCAGGTTTTTAAATGTATTATTCAAAAAGTCCGCCTCCAGACAATCTTTTGATACAATATCTAGAGATTATGTATCTAAAGGTAAAAAAAAAGAGAAATATTTAGTACAATTATAATTAAATCTTGTATAAATTAATAAAATTATAATGAACCTATCATTTTTTAACTTCACAATATTTCTGTCAATGGCTTATACCTATTTTTTTTTAATTTATGTTCTTAGTTGTATTTAATTATTTTGATTTATATATCAATGTAGACTGTGGTCTCTGCCACCATTTTTAATCCGTTAGTTCTAGGTTTGCATCTAAAATTTCTTAATAGAAGCTAAAGTAATCGCATACAATGTTTCTGGATCTTCTGAAAATTGGTATGGTGGTGGTGGATCTTGGAATTCAGATAGTTGGATGTTTTGTACAAATTTCATCCCACTTTCTAGATTGTGAAAAGGTGCATTGTGAGGTACATGCACAGTATTTAATTGGCTACTTAGTACTGCCAGTTGAGCATATCCAGGAATACAAATTGCCTCATTAGAACCTACARAGGAAAAAAGATTTGTTAGAATTTGTTTGTTTGAAAAGTTACATTGATTTGATTGATGGTTGAAAAGAATAACCTAATTGATGAAAATTGCTAACTATTGTCAATGGTGTACTATCCAATTTTATTTTAATAGAAGCTACTTCATTTAAATGTGCTCCCTTAACACGAGCCTCAACCTACAAAAACAAAAAAATATATTAATTCAATTATTTGCTGAAAACAATAATTATGCTATTTAAAAATTACATTTAGAAAATATTCATCGGTTATAATTCCGCAATGTTTTAAATTGGGTATTTTCAAACCATTCGGAATTTGAAGTTGTTCCACCCTGGTTTTCGATTTGTGTTTTTCTATACCATCTATGTACATATTTACAATCTTATAGTGTTCATGTTTTATTTTAGTAAACTGTGCTTTAAATTCCAAAGTAAAAAATATTACAAATTCATAAAATCTCTATATTATAAATAAGATAATGTGAGGAAATTAATACTATCTCTTGTTTTATTTTAATAATATCCACATCGGCAATGCTGTTATTATCCAATTCAACTGTAACTGGTATATATTGTCCAGGTATAAAACCACTATAAGGTATATAGGTAACCAATGTCATTAGACCGGATTTACACCAACAGCAACAGTAAAACTTTTCTTCTAATGCTGTCTTAGGTTCCTAAAAATGTACGCAATAGAATAAATAGATGTTAATATCCATCTTAGAAATATAAAAGATAAACTTGACTACTATCTATCTATTTAGCGTTTTACAATCCATTTAGACCCATTGCCGCAACAACCACTTGTTTCCACTAATCTCTTTTCTTAGCCAGTTCAACTCTGTTCTCAATTCCAAGTTTTTCTAAGTCCTTGTCGACTCTATCCTTCCGTTTTTGTCTGGGGCATCCTCTTGATATTTTTKTATTTGGTTTCCATTTTATAACTTGTCTTTTTTTATAATTATTTTCACTAATCTCCACGCGTGTGCTGCAAATCTCAATCTACTACTTTTTAACACACCATTGATGGTCGCTTTTCCATACAGGTCTTTAATCTCTTGGTTTATCAAGTTTATCTCATATCTCCTTCGTTGTAATTTTTGGGTCCATAGATTCTTCTTARTATCTTCTTTACAAAAATCGCCAATTTGAGTTTGTCCGATTTTGTTATAGCTCACGCACTACATGCATACAATGGCTACTGGTCTCACTAATACTTTGTAAAGTGTTATTTTTGATTTCTATAACAAAATCTTTGAATTAAATAGAGGTACCAATCCAAAATAGCATCTGTTTGCTGCTGCTAATCGTATATTTATTTTGTTATGGCTGTTGGCGTCCTTATTAATTTCCACCCCTAAATATTTGAAGTTTGTAGTCATCTATGTATATCCAAGTGTTCTACTCTTTTGTTATTTCTAATTATGGCMAGGTATTTTGTTTTTTTGTCTTATCCTCGTTTATTGTTAACTCTATTTTCCTTCCATGTCCAGTAGATTTCTTGTAATATTCTTTAGATTAACTTCATCTTCTGYCATTATGACTATATCATCTGCATATGCAGCCAATACTAATTGTTTGTCAACTCTGATTTTTACTCTATTAAGTTGTGACCAAGGTATCTCTGATGACTGACTCCAACACTGCATTGAATAACATAGTTCACTACCTTGAAGTCTTCCGATATCGTGTTTCCAAACTTCACTTTGCACTTTCATCTCTGTACACGTGCYCAGATTAGTCACATAAGCATTTAAAGTATACCCAAATCGCACATTAAACTCCATATTTTATTTMTATTAATTGAATCGTAAGCAGCTTTGAAATCTATAAAGAGGAGATGGATATCCTTGTCAAATTTATGACTTTTTTCAGCTATTTGTTTAACRATATGTATAAGTTTAAAATAATGCGAGCCAGGAATTTTTAAAATTGGATGGTTACCATCATACTAACAATTAATAATAATATATAAGAACGTAGAAGTACATCTGAAACAGTGTAAGTGATATACTATTCTCATTTGTATAATTAGATAGTACCTTAAATGGTGGTAGACCACATTTTGGAAGATGGTCGTTTTATGCTTAGACACTTGATCATCAAACTAAAATTATATAATGTATTWCAAGTGGACCCCAAAATTGAATAATGACTCAGACATATATCGGAATGGAATTATTTACTTATTAGTATGTATAATTTCAGAATAAAATAGTATACTTACAGCTAATGATGGTTCATTATTTAAATRTATTGGAGGAATTACTTCAAACATTATTTCTTTTTCTATATTGATTCTCCAAGGTTTATTAATTTTGACTTTTGCTATATAAAATATACTTWCATGAGCACCTTTAAATGTTGATGGTAATTCGTGTGGTAAACAAAAATTAAATGGATAGATGTATTCACCGACTTCTAATTGTGATTCACCTTAAAAATAATTATTAAGTATAAATTAATTAATGTAAAAATATAAGATTAAAACTYCATGTCATAAACCTATAGCATGTGTTTGGATGAAGAAGCGCAAAATATTTTTATTTMATTTAATAAATTATTTAGTTAATAATAATTATAACATTTTAGGTTAGAACTATTTTAAAGATAATATAAAAACTTCCTTAAATACTACATATTAATTGTAATATATTTTAACAATTCTCAACAATATATCTCCCTGATTAGAGAGAAAATATTTGCGGATATGAATTATATAATATTCTGGTTAAGTAATATAGTAGTATTTAAAATTAATTAAAAAGTAAAAGGTTTACCATACTTGGGTGTAAGTACTAAAACTGTAAATTTGTTATAAAAATATAAAATAATAATAAATCAAATATCTCACCYTTTGCAACTACCAGAAAAWATTTATTTTTAAAATATTCTTCTCTTGCAGACTAACTAACTGAATGGTTTTGTCTTTGATTATTATTATCAGTTTGAGATTTGGTTTCAGTCCACCTAACATTAGCTTCTCCTTGGAATTTCAATTTTATATCTATAAAAAATTAAAAACTACTGTAACATCTACTAGTCTACCACTTGCTATCTTATTATTAGGTTATTAGGTCCTGGATTTATATTCATTTGTATGATTTTTCTAAACAGTCTAAAAACTAGCCAGGTAAGCTACAAGTTTAAATTATAGTCAATAGATCTGAAATACAAAGTTTTATTTTGCATATTTTTGTATATTTCTGTATTTTATAATTTTTTATTATAGYATAGTATGTAATATTTTCTTTATATTAATGAAAATAATGTATTTATAGTTATATTTATAAGTCCATRTAATTTGACTGAGCCGTTTTCTTATCTTATCTAAGACCTATCGGACAAGCAGTAATCTGTTATTGGCAGTGTTGGATAAATTAGGTTTAAAAAGTAATAAAATTACTTCACTCGTTACTTAGAGAGAAATGTAATAAAGTTATGTTATTCATTACTCTAATAAAATTGTAATGAAATTACTTTACTTTTCAAATTGAAAAGTAACTCATTACTTTCTCGTTAAAAAAAAAAAAAAAACATTTTTTTTATATTTCTTATATTATCACTGTGCCTGGCAATAATGTTACTAGCTCTACAGRAGCACTGGATGGTAAAGCTGTGTTGTATTTAATAAAAAAATTCTTCACTAATGTCATTCAATTCAAAATTGTGAGATCAGCTGTATAAGGAGCTTTAATAAATATATATAATGTATTGCTATACTAGATTGGTAAACATAATAATACCTGCATTATAGACACATTTTTTTTCAATTCGCAAAATGTAGGTACTTAATAATTCGAAACTGTAACGCGTTATTCAATAGAAATTTCTTATCAAAAGTAATTTCCATTACATTTTTGTAACTTGGAAATAATTCTAATGAAATAACGTGAGGCGCGTTACAAGCAAAGTAACGCATTACTTTCRTTACGTTACTACCCAACACTGGTTATTGGGTAGGTTTTCATGAATCATAATATGTTTGTCGTATTTGTTTCTTCATTTTATTCATAATACGAGTGTGTGTAATTTTCATTCCATTTTATTTATTTATATTTAAAATTCCATAAGTGAATCACATTAATATAATATAATTTTATGTAATCATATAAAAAAAATAATGAAATAAAAAAAAATTTTAGTAGATTTTTTTTCTAAAATTTTTATTTTATTAGGTATATTCTTRTAAAATAAGAGTATAAATGCATATTTCTGAGGTTTTTAGAGTACCTACAAATTTGGATCCTACTTATAATGCACTTACTTTTGATCTTTACTGAACTACTAATCACAATTAAAACCMGTCCAGTAATAGTTTGGCCGGCCGTAAATACTGCTATTGGATCATCAAAAATTATCTGTACATTTTGCACACCCATTGTAATTYCGTACAGATATTAGGTATTTAATTTATTCTGTGAAAGCTAACTATTGATCTGAATRTCTGATGAAAATTAAATSAACTGTGATCTAAATTATTATACAAACAATGACTAAATGATTGGAAATGTGAATCATCCATTCAAGACTAGCAAGAATTTATCTAATCAACTATTAGTGCTCTAATGCACTTAAACTGTTATGCTTAGTAAACCTCATTTGCATTGGTTTTAAGTACTCTGTCTCTATTAAATCTCTCAAATTTTCAATTGTTTCTTTTGTCTTGAAGTATGGTACTGGTACAGTAGTCTRGGATTCTAGCACTAAACTGACAAGTGTCAGCTAGAGTGTCTGGTAAAAATTCCTCTAGTGCTGTGCTTTTGTTTTAAGAACTGAATATCCATCACATGATTATTTCCTGCGGCTATTTGTTTAATAAACTCATTGGCTGAATATAAGGGTTGATACTAAATCCATTCTTGGAACTTTTGCCATTTTCATTTATTTTCTATTCTTATTTTGTTTTACATATGTTCTAAAAAAAAATCGACTCAGAATGTTGATGCTAGCCAAATTTAAGACCCATCATTCCTCATTTGATTTATTTTTACTATTATAACTTATAAGTATTTTTAATATTACTATTATAGTATTATTATATAACTTCAATATAATTATCTTTTTCATTTTTTTGTTGTTACTTTTTACAAATTTTAAAATTGTTTGGTTAATTCTAACATATTTTGATTTGGGTTCAACCCCTTTAATATATATGTGTATATATATATACATATATATATATATATAAAAAAAACTATTTAAGATCAATGGTCAATAATTATCATGAAATTTTGTTATGTTGACTTTAATAGCTATCTACTAAATATCTTTGGATTATATTGCAAATCATTCTCTAATTATCGCTGACTTCTAAATAACTTCAAATGTTAAAAGCACTTAAGTTTGCCTATGTACCTATCTAATAATTAAACAATTCTGTGACTTGTTTATACATGAAACTTTAAAAATCCTGAAAAAGGCCTTTTTCATGATATTAGCATTCTCTACAGTTCATCTCTGATTCCGCTATTCAAACATTTTATGGATATAATTAAATAAACAAAGTAGTATACATTTTTTTTTTTTTTTTTTATTAAGAAGTGTCAAAAGAGTCATTAGTAAGTTATTTAATATTAATAATATTAATCATATAAACCATTACAAACAATTGATTTCTATTCAACATATTATGTAAACAGTAGGTTTTTTATTCATGTAAGAATCATATCTAAAATATGAGCATATATTTACACATAACATAATTTGTATCTCTAGCTCTARTAATACAATATAATAAGAACATGATTTATGATGTCACTACTGTCTATCTTTAATATAATAAGAGTATAATATATTATTTAGTAAAAAATAGTTAGGTATGTCAATAAAAATGATCAACAATAAAAACTATACTATGATAAAAATATAATATTAAAACTAAGATATTGGTTTTATGATGTCATATAAAATAAATATTAACAACTTCAATAATAGGTTATATAGATAGATAATAAGCACAATAAATTATGTTATGTAGTAGTATTATTATTATTTATATTGTATATATTATTTTAAATTTTAAAGTTAAATTWAAAAACAAGTTAAATATTATATTACATAGGAATCATAACACTGTATTATATAATTAAAAATTTTTGTAGTATCTGCGATTTCAAATATTACATTCAAAAAATTAATACCTACTTACAAAATTTAAGATACTGAAGGAACTGGAACTAGGTATATATTTATACAAATCTAAAAATGAATTGTTATAATAATTGTATTCAATGTTCATAAAATAATATGAATTAAATTCTATCCTCGGCGATGACAATTATTAGAAAAACTATCAATGTTCTTTGGGTCATCTTTTTTCTTTTACAATTAAAATATTTAAACTTAAGTATCTATATAAGACTTGTACTTCATTAAATTGTTTATTTTGGTTCGTMTACGATATTGTTTGTACATGATATCATAATATATTTAATATGAATATTGTATAATACATGTATACTATATTACTATGCAGGCTCTTTGATAGACATTTTTTGCACTAAAGCAAAATTTTAAATGCCAGTTTTCTTTATTATAGTTAATATAATTGATTACTTGGAACTACTTGTTGAGCATATCCAGGAACTGAAATTAGCTCAGTAACATCTTTAGCCGGAAGATGATTTGTTAGAATTGGTTCATTTGAAAAGTTACATTGATTTGATGGTAGAAAAGAATAATCAAATTGATGAGTGGCGGTAGGTATTATCATTGGGATATCTCCCAATACTATGTTAGTAGAAATTACTTCATTTATATAACCTCCACTTACACAAGCCTCAATCTAAAACAAAAAGAAAACAAATCAATTAAAACTATTCCCATAAAATAACAGTATATGATGTATTTACATGTAGAAAATATGTATCAGTTATAATTCCACAATATTTTAAATTTGGTATTATTAAATTATTTGGAATTTGAATTTGTTCCACGCGGGTTTTCGAAGAGTGTTTTTCAACACCATCCACACATACATTTACAATCGTAAATGTTTTACACTTTGTTTTRCTACTTGGGAATCGTGCTTTAAATTTCAGTAACTATAAAATAGAATACAATATTCTTAAAATCAGTAATTATTATCTTATATAATTTTTTATTATGAGAAAATTATTACTCTTTCCAGTTTTATTATAACAGAATCTACATCCATATTGCTGTTATTATCCAGTTCAACTGTAACTGGTATAGATTGTCCTGGAACAAAACCAGTATGAGGAACATAGACAATCATTGTCATTGGTCCTGACTTGCAACAACAGCAACAGTAAAACTTCTCTCTTTCTAGTATTTTAGGTTCCTGAAAGGATAATATTAAAAGTTGCACACAAAAAACTATGTCTAATCAAACTTATTGTAATTTATCATATTTTATTATTTTATTTGATGTGGAGCTATTGCATTGAATATAGTTTTGCTGTAATATTTAATATTTTTTCATTTACTATTATAGTTATTAGGCTATTTGATAATATGTGTACTAAACATATTAAATGAATGTTTACATTTTAAGGAATTATTTTACGATGTTTTTATTTACAAGTATTCAAATGTACACAAACACTTATTATGTATTGTATTCTCATATAATATATGAATAGGTAACTATGTATATTTTATTTATACATTAAATATATAACTATATTCAACAACATGTACATAGGTAATACTATTATGTATTTTATAATTTTGTATTTTTTTAATATATTATATAATGAAAGAAGACTGCTTGATTTATCATCACACAGCTCATTCGGCTCTAAAAAAGCTATTTGGGCTATTTGAGGCTAATTGAGTGGTAAAATTAACATGCAAAATTAATTAAGGACCTGTTATTCTTTTTATAACTCACTAAAATTATGAAAGAGTTCTACATTATAACAAGATTAGATTGAAAAATGTGCCCATCAGTGGTAATCTAGGCCGAGATCATAAATACGAATATGAGGTCTAGGGTGCTACTTGGAGTATAACACCAAAAGCTATTTRGTGCATTGAGTATCAGAAATTTTTACTCAAAATTTGTTTTAAAGTTAGATTCGGGTTGAGCATAAAAGTTGTATTAATAAAAATTAATATATATTTGTTAATTAATTATGTTGTTGTATTAAACATATTGCCAAATGTGAATCYCTAATAACTGCCGTTTTCAATGGCTAGTAATTTTCGTTCATTAATCACAATATTATACCCATAGGTAAGTGATCCTAATTGAAACATCATTTTTAACTCTATAAAAAACWTAAGTTCTAGTAATATGTTTTTAATTTCTCGTGGACATAGTTAAACTAAACTTTAGTCTCAATATTACAGCTATTATATTAAATCCTCAAAGATATAATATTAAGCATGTTTTAACTTTTACTTACAGCTAAAGATGGTTCATCATTCAAATTTAAGGCAGAAATAACTTGAAATTCAATTTCTTTACCTTTCTTAATATCCCAAGGTATACTAATTACTGCTTTAGCTGTATATTGTATACGCCCGTACTCTGCTTCAAATGTTGTTGGTAAGTGTTCTGGTAAAGAAACACTAAATTGATAAATATATTCCCCTTCTTTTAAAAGTAATTTTCCTAAAAACACAAACATATTTATTTTTTATTGGAAAAAACCTCAATTATTACATATAACATTTATAAATGCTAAGGCTTAAATTAAATGTAAGAAATAGCAATTTATATACAATTTATTATAAAAAAGTAGTACATAGTTATCATTTTTATAACATTAAAAAATAAACAGAAATGTATGATTTTTAAGAGAAAAATATACAGAAATACTGAAGGATACCGTRTTTTATTGCAATCTTGGGATAAATCGTTCAAATAAGAGATTTGTTCATATAATATTTGTTATTAAATATCAAATATTTAACCATCAACTGGATTAAGTGAAAAACTCACCTTCCCCGCCTGCCAATATTATTTTGTGATTAAAATATTCTTCTTTTGCAGTATATCTTTCAGTTTTAGTCTTATTATGTGTAAGGCTATGCCTTCTATTTCCATTCTTACTATTTCTTCGGGTCATAAGATTATGTTCTTTCCACAACACATTACCTTCTCCTCGAAATTTTAATTTCACTTCTGAAACATAATAAAACTTTTATGTTATGCACCCAATTACTAAAGATTTATTTTACCTACTTTTTATTTTAACAGAATCGCTAACAATAATTAAAACTTTGCCAGTAATTATTTCACCAGGGGTRAATACTGCAGTTGGATTATCAAATATAATTTGTAAATTGTTCACACCCATTTTGTTTTAGCCAAAACTGTGTTAAGGTAAATTTTTAAACATTGTATTAAAACTGAATAACTAAGATGAACTAATAAATATACTTATCATTACTAATTTTGGTATGCTCTTATACTGAATAGTTGTTGACTTATGAAGTAATAATAGGCTACAAAGTTTATTAGTTTATATAATAATAAATATTTGGATAACTAATTCTTAAGCAAGTATTACCAATTCCAAGAAAAAAATATGTATATATACCTAGGTACTTATTTGTTGTACACTTCACATTAATCTTTAGATTAGAATATTATATATATTTATTTTTTTTTATTAACTTACATAGGATGAAGTATTTAGTAYAACATTTATGGTACATATTAGATCATTATTCCTAAATTGTTACTGATATGTATTATTATATTATAGTTAAAAAAAAAATGAATACAATTTGTAATTTTGAAATTATAATTAATTAAGTACCTATTAAATATTATATGGTTATTCAATACATTATATACTTTATAGTTTATGCCATAGCCATACTGTATGGCAAAGGCGTGTCCAGACTTCATCCGCAGG